AAATGGGCTTTCAGTGCGTTAAAAGGGTGTTTGCATGCGTTTTTGATGCGTTTGCATGCGTTCCAGAGCAGGTAAAATAGGGCCTGCTGCAATTTTTTTACCTGCTCTGGACCTGCTCTGGAACGGAACGCTGCGATGTGAACTGGAGCTAAAAATACCATTGGAATACATTGGATGCAGTTTTGCTCCGGTCTGTAACTGCTCTGCTCTGCTCCTGAAACGCGCTTGGTGTGAACAAGGCCTAAATCCTACGGTAAACTTTTACTCAAGTTATACTTGAAGACCGTGGTGTTAAGCCCCCTTACTGGCCAGGCCATTTTTCAGTATTCAGCGCTGCAGTACTTTGACGTTTATTCAGAGATGCAACGCTGTACTGAAACAAATTTTATACCTTTTTTGTGGGGACGGATTGAGCTTTCTTTTGGTGGTATTTACTCAACACTGGAGATCGCACCGGGCACAGCGCATCTCGGGACCGGCGGCGACGGAGACGGGGGTGGGGGGGCTGGCGTACACCCGCACCTACTACAAGCGATTGGGCATCTCTAGAGACGCCCAATCGCTTGAATGTAAACAGCCATCGCTGGCTGTTTACATTTCTGACAGTTTCCCCACTTGTGTGCACGCTGGGCGCCGCGCACAAGCGGAAGGAGGGGAAGGACATCTTAAGATGCCCTCCCACTCCAATAAGGCTCCCGTCCGGTCGTTCAGGAACAGCCAATGGACGGGAGGTGGTTAAAGGAGTATTATTGGGAGAGTGAAATACATTGAAGCTGTGACACTAAAGCTGTCACATGTTGGCTCTATTAATCAAGAACTGACCGCTGATTGCTCAGTTCCCAATCTTCTCCCTGCAGAGAACGATGACTGTCAAGGACAGACAAGGGAGAGGCAGCTGTCAATAAGGTAGTTGAGTGGATCCCCACAATATTGTCAGGATAGCCCGCGATATGCTGAGTTTTGGGTCAGAGGAGGACATTAGTGTATGTCCTCCTCTGACCCTAAAGAGAACTATGGCAAAAAAAAAGCTGGGCCATAGTTCTCTTTTTAAAAAAAAATTCCCACAGATCAATATCTCACATAAAATAATCAGAAGTACAGTATGTCTATATGTATAACCTGAGCAGAGTCCATTAATCCCCAGATGATAATTTTTTTCTGCTTTAATGTATTTTAATGAAAAAAAAAACAACTTAAATAATAGATTTAGGATGTAGGATTATTTCTGAAATCAGTAACCTTTATAAATGCACACAATTACATGCTTTTTGTATAAATATACAATGAACTCCCTAGTAACTCCCGATAGTCATTGTGCTTATACTTATTATACTCCAATTTACAATAGGGATCATCTGATATATTACTATGGAGCAATAAACGTACTCGGAGAATGACAGCACAAAAATTAAAATGGCAAAAAATAATGAAAATAAGAGATATGAATATTATGCTCTCAAATTGTCCAGGGTAAAAATAATTTCCAAGTTACAATGACTAATTCACAACTGGTAACCATAAGGAACATATACTGTATTATGTTATGGAGCTGCTAACAAAAATTCTTTTAAAGCCATTTAGACGTGTAACGTCATCCGATAAGGCAAGGCTTGCCATGTGCCATACTAAGAGACATGACCTTTTCAAAGTAGACAAGTTTTGAACTCGAGAAACCTCTGTTTTCATTCTAAAAATAGTTTATTTGAAATACATGTTATTACAATAATGTTAAACACAATCTTTCTTTTTAAATATATGAAAAAAATACATTAAAATATATTTCATTAAAAATACAAACTGCATTCATTAAAAATTCGAACAATAAATTACCAATAAATAAAAAAATGCATAAATAACGTGTTGTGTCTAAAATATTAATATTAAACATGATAATACACAATATTCTTAAATAGCTATTCTTTTGTAACTTTTTTTTAATAGAATAACATCTATTCATCATTTACCCTGACATTTTGGGACCAACACAAGTATGAAAGTAAAACCATAACAAATAGTTCAACTTGATTTCTGTCCAGGGCAAGCTGCTGTATGTATTGGTGCTGTAGAGATATATAATAATAATAATTCAATAGATTAATGAGAATATGTTAAGAAGGGATATGTAAATGTACCTACAGTAACCATCAGACTCAAGGAGTCATTTTACTAGGAAATTAAGGCAAGAATCTGACTAGTTGTTACAGGCAGCATCTATAAAATTTTAATTTCTTGATTTTTTTATTTTAAGCTCCAAAATGGCATTGATATTTATTGTACTTATGATGACACTACTCCATAGGGTTGTAAAACACTAGACTGAGTGCTTTGCCATAAAATTAAGTACCTAAGAATGTTTGCTCTCCATAGAAGAGCAGTGGGTTAAAGCCAGTTCTGTATAGCTGAATTCTGTTTTATGAGGATACAATTATTTTCAAGCACACAATTAGAACTATTGCAGTAAATAAAAGAATGCTGCACAGACAAAGAATTAATGGAAAGCATAGCCTTGGCTTTAAGCCATATGCATTAGTTGACAGAACAGCAAGAAAGTATTGTGGATTGGTTATTGTATTACGCACATTTCTTAATAAGAGTCATGTTGACCTATTTGCAGATACCAAAATTGACATTTTCCTTTTCTAATGAGAGATATGATTTGTTTATTTTCACATTTTTCTGCAGTTACTCTCAAGAATTCTAACACCCAGTTTTTGGTATATTTCAGCTAAGGAGAAAATAAGCCATGAAAATTAAATTGTTTTTAGATAGATTTTGCTGAACTCACCTCTCGATCCTGTCACGGCTCTCTTCCGTGACAGGGGAGGGGCAGGATTCCCTCCGATCTGCAAGCGCTGACTGGCGGAACGGATGGGGAGGGACGGGTACAGCTGGCTCTGCCTCTAGATAGGCAGAGCCAGCTGTCAGTCACGCAGCTGGGCGGATCCAGACATAATTGTCGGGATCTGCTTCAGCTGCAGTGTCTCAGTATCCCGCGACCAGCAGCTCGCGGTATACTGAGCCTGGGGTGACGGGAGGACGCTGGTTTGTGTCCTCCCGTTTCCCTAAGGAGAACTATGGGGAAAATCCTTAACCCCATAGTTCTCCTTTAACCCCACACTAAACCAGGTACAATCTGCCATGTTCATATATGGAATGCTAACCTTATTTGTTTTTTGTACTGCAGAAAATGTACGTGTAAATGTACAAACTTGCATTTGTATGACAAAGCATCAAAGCATATTTCAAGGTATATCAGCAATAAGAAAGAAATAAAATATAAGATATCAATAGTTTCATATTCCTAAGAAATAAATATATGTTTATTTTGCTCTTTTTTTGTTTGAGTAATGGCGCTAATTACTTAAAGGAGAACTATGAGGTGAGTGATTTCCACTCATCCTCATAGTTAGAGCTGACCTGTGACAAAGAAGCTGTCACAAGTCGGCTCTATCAATCGGGAACTGAGCAGAAACATGCCGCTGATCTGCTCACTTCCCGACCGTCTCCCTGCAGTGAGCGGTGACTCGCTGCAGGGATTCCCTCTCCTCTCTCTCATCCTCCAGCGCTGAGTGGAGGAACAAACGGGGGAGGAGGCAGGCACAGCTGGCTCTGCCTCTAGATAGGCAGAGCGAGCTGTCCCTCGCGCAGCTGGGTGGATCTCGACAGTATTGTCGGGATCCGTCCAGACCGCAGCGCTCTTAGTATATCGCGGCCAATAGCCTGCGATATACTGAGCTTTGGGACATAGGAGGAGGTTAGTATATGTCCTCCCGTGACCCTAAAGAGAACTATGGGGAAAAACACTTACCTCATAGTTATCTTTTAAGACCTTAACGTATTAAGGTTGATTTACAAAAGTAGTTAAATAAATGGAGTGAAAGTTTATTTTAATTATCCACTCTTGTGCAAAGCAAAGCAAATTCCTTACTCAGTTCATTTGTGCATGACTGGGTATGCACAGTTATCACAGCTAAATTGAGTCAAAACCATCAACTCCTTTAGTAAACCAACCCCATTGCATTTATTTAAATATTTTTCTTTCAAGTGTATGGATACCAATAAATATAAATGTATATTTACTGCATAATTCATAGAAAATGCATGAAAATTCTAACTTGTCAGTTATGTCAACCAACAGATTGTACTTCCAATGTATTGGCTTAACAGGATAGAAAAAAATACTTTTTTTTTAACTGTAGAGTAAAAAGACTACAAAATTATTCACACAGTGCACCTGATTTGTAAACCCAGTAGGTAAAAGATAGAGCTTAATAGCAGAGAATAGCTTTCATTTACTAAATCTGAAAGCATTTAACTTGTTGTTACAGGTAGTGAATCCACTTCTCCTTGTCTTCTTTTGTTCTATTTACAGAACAAACAAATATACTTTTTTTTTTGTCTAGATTGCATGATTTAATGCCCTGCAATCTGTTAAAAATCATTACATTAGTTTTGTTGGTTAATAACTATAAAGCTTTCCTAGTTTAAATTTGTTAAGTAATAGTGCAATGAAATCATACAGTGTAAACAAAAATGACACAGACTCACTGCCTTTTACCATGACTGTGCTGCATTCTAATTATGTAACCAGAACATGTTATCTACCATGCTCAATCATTCATAGCCACATACAGTGTATGGGGTAAAACAATATCTAGAGCACCTAAAGTAAATTTTTTCCTCATATTGTATGTAGAAAATGCATTTCTTTAAACAGTATGCTGATAATTATAGCTAGTTATTATTCCTTCTTATCGCCAACATTTTTCAAAAGGGACATCTTGCAAATTTTACCTGCAAACAACTGAAAAACCTGGTTGTTAAATGGATGTAGCTTTATTATGAGAATGCACTATGCAGCAATCTATTTTTAGCCACGTTTTCATAGCAAAGTAATGTTCTAAGTTTGCCTACCTTTTTTCCTGTATAACAACTAAACAGTGGCTGGATAAATCAAAGCAAGATGTGGTTAAGCACAGATGGAAACTACATAAGGCAGTACATGTTTTTGTTTTGGTCATTGTTCTGATGCATGATGAGATATTTCAGTTAGCAAGCACTTCTCAAATTACTGGCACTCTTGGCACCCCCTCAGGCACAGTGGCACTTTTTAACAATCATGTCATCAAAGACTGTAAAAACCAGTTTGCGCTCAGAGTTGTAATGCATGAGTACCATGGGGTCATAACTTCCTGGAACACAGCATGGTGCTGGCGTCTCTCCGTTAATGTGATGCATTCTGTATTTAATCTGAGCATGCATACTGGCTGGTTTGTAGTTATGTGGGCAGGATCCATCACAAAAACGCATTTCATAGGTAGATGGATGTACAATCCAGTCGCTCCAACCAATCTGCTCAAAAGATACCAATAAGGACTTGCGGCAACATTTCTTCTCACTTTTTTTACAGTCTTCATCTACAGAGAGGGATCTGGCTCTTCTTGTTTTAGAATGAGCTTGCTCCTGTGTCTCTACCTCTAACACAAGGGCATCATCCGCTCTCATTTGTTTTCTGCCATCACTCACAAAAGGGATGTTCAATATAATTACTAACTCAAGCCGCAGACATTTCTCTGAACTTGCAATCCACTGCTGTACGGCAGTATCCACATTTAATGTCATATTTAATGCCAATATGTCTTTGTCTATGGATTTAGAATCAAGTAACTTATATTCTTGTTCTCCATTACCATGGATTGACTCTGTCACTTTGTAAATGTTCACCATAGCCTTAGATGTTGAGTTAGCTGCTGCTGATTTGAGTGCAGCTAATACATCTTTGCAGAGTTTCAGCTCAGCCCTCATCACGCTTAACTGTTGATGTATTGTCTGTGTCCTGGAGAAGATCAAATTGTAGCGATGACTGTTTCCAGGTATGCCACATTTCTTTGTGCTACGTTCCACTGTAATACAGAAAAAAAACATGAAGTCTCAGTAATTATGCTCAGTAATGGAGCTTTTGACTCCATCTTATTTTACTAATTGTTTCATAAACAAACCTTTCTAAAAAGAAGAAATATACACTTTGCTTCCTGAAGTTTATGTGAGCCCATAATCTAATATTCAGTATGTTTGGCATCAGTATTTACTGTATGTGGTCTTCATATGCAAATATTTTTTTCATACTAGTGTCCCAGGAAGATGGATGCCTTCTCTACTATGAAAAGTTTCACCACTTTACTGGACATTTTTCCTTTTTTCAAGATGATTTTGTTCTTCCATCAATACTCCATCTGCAAGCTGCTTGATCTAGTCTCTTAATGAGACTATCTGGATCAGTGTGTTGTCAGTAATAATTTTAGAGGCTGTACTTGGGACCCACTGAACTTGCCTCCTACTGTGACAATTGCAAGGCCTGTCTGGAATGGGTCTATTATGCATGTACACTCCACACTCTTGTTCCAGCCACTTAGCGTAAGGTAGTGTCTTCCTGCCACTGCTCCTAATCACAAGAGACACACAGTTTCATCTTAGTCCTTGCCTCCTACTGTGACTTGGTCACCTCCAACCATTTAAACTTCTCCTGCTCCCAGCAGCCAGTTCATGAGCACCCAAGTTTTCACCCTGAATTATACCTAAGTTGTCTCTGCTTGAGGTGCAAAATGTTGGATCCCAAATACATATGGAGCATGAGTTCGACTCGAGCATGAGTTCGACTCGAACATCGGCAGTTCGTACGGCATGGGGACAAGGATCTTTTCCGGGGGCAACCCTGGAAAACCGCCCTCCCAGCGCCAACGGCATGTGGCCTGGTTTTGCCTCCCTCTTTCCTGCCCTGCCAGGCCTGTGCTCGGATCAAGGGTCTGGTATGGAATTTTAGGGGGGACCCCATGTTCCCCCCACCCCCCCATTTTTTGGGGGTGGGGTTCCTCCTTAAAATTCCTACCAGACCTTAAGGGCCTTTTCTTTTCTTCTTTTTTTTTTTTAAATGGGTCAAACAAATGTTATTGTTTGGGAGGGGGAAGCGCACGCTTTTTTTTTTTTAAATGTAATTTTTTCCTTTATTTAATCATTTTTGCTGCAGCAGGTTCTATACATTGTACAGGTGTGCCACTTTACAGGCAGTTTATGGGGATCCCCCAGGCACGACATTTAAAGCAATTTTTCATTTTTATTGTTTTACTTTAAGTGATGCAGACATCACTGCTCCTTTAAAAATGTTATTTCTTAAAAGTGTTTATTTCATTGATTCATGTCCCCCAGGACAGTACCCGAATCCCCATACACTTTTTATGGCCATTAACTTGCAAATAAGCCTTCAAAATGGGGTAAATTTCAAAGTTCTACCCCCCATTGACTTGCATTGAGTTTGAGATCGAATTCTAACTTTTTCCATGTTCGAAAGTTTGAATTCGAACTGAACAGGGGATGTTCGGCCCATCACTAATGGTGATCGCAAAACTCCTATTAATTGCAGTGAATCACCAGCACACACAAAATGCATAAACACACACACAAACTTCATAGATATGTTTATTGAAGAATGTCACATCATGTCATCAGAGGCTAACGTTTTGGGACCTCGCAGGGACCCCGCATCAAAGTTACATAGTGCAGGGTCCCTGCGAGGTTCTGAAACAATAGCCTCTGATGACATGATGTGATATTCTTCAATAAACATATCAACGAAGTATTGAAACTCAATTTGGAAGGGATTTAGAAATAGAGAAAGTGTTGCCAATGATACCAAACATATTGAAATATAGATTTAGGGTTTACATGCACTTTAAAAATACACTGAAGCCAGAATTAGTAATTAAGCATTAAGATGCATACAGGGAGAATAGCCTGCCTCCTCAGTACTGCATTATGTCATCTAGACACTGCTGTACTACACCAGTGCTCCCTATTCCCTTTTGTCTGTACTCTATTAATCTTGGAACATGCCCTGTTATAATACTGGACCACCCTCTCGTTGCTGCCTCTCACATACAGAAAGCCCGATGTAAAAATGTATGATTTAACAGACAGCAGTCAGACTCAAAACTGCTTTGGATGTTTGATTGTGATTGGTGATGGAGGGGAAACAAATAGAGGCAGTTATACAGTTCAAACATAAGGAAGTACTCCCACTGGCCTCCTACTGATTCTGTGAGGTGCATTACAGAAAATTTATATTAAAGGAAATATTTTGTTATTTTAGCAGAGTTGCCGTGTGCCACACGGCATTAGTAGCTCATTGACTGGGATGCCTGGAATTGCTCTTTAAAAAGTACCTGTGAATTATTTTTTTGGGGACAAAAAGTGGGGAAGGCTTAGAACCTCTGTCAGGTTTAAAATGTTGTGTTCCTGTTTTATTAAATGATTCTGGCAAATATAAAATTATAATTATGTTATCTTATACTATATCTTTTCTTATCTTATCTCAACACATGTCTTACCTGTCACCTTAACACCTGTCTTACAATTGCCATCTGGACAGGAAGTGAGGGGAAATCTCCCTCGCGGAAGCACATACAGTAAAAAAAAAGACAGAAAAACTAAAGCTTCCTTACTCTGCTGAGAATTTGTTTTCATTGCTGCCTTTGAACCTTACTCCTTGTTCAGCAGTCAAATAATCCCACTTCCTTTTCTTTCAGGTTTCCATTAAAAAGTCATGAAGTAAAGAAAAATCTTATGGGATATGGCAATACAACATTGACAGAAGTTTTAACCCTTCCACACGCCAGCGTTTTTCTGGAGTTGGGCATCTGTAGTTATTGTAAACGATCTTATCGATATGTGTTAATGTATTGAATACCTTGATCCTATGTAGCTCATTATCTGCCTTGTCATTGACCAGAACAAGCATGAAGCAAATGAAGTCCACACTTGTTCCATGTCAGAAGGTATATTTAGGAGAGGTCAACAATGGCAACCTCTATGTTCCTTTAAGCACAGGTTTCCCTGAATTAAAGGTTTTAACAGCAATTTATTTAGGTTTTAACAGCAGTATGCACTATGTACCTGACATGGTGCCTGGTATACTACACAAACAATTGGGTAACCGATGATGTTCTATTGATTCACCAAAGAGGTGCAGAGCTTTAGGGTTGGTTTCACAAACACTTTTCTGTTCTCATCTGCAATGTGCATTGTGGGCACATTTTGACAAAAGACTGGCTACCATGGAGCTATATAGAAGTGCATGTAAAATACATGATAAACCTACACTGCGTGTTAGCAATACATATGTTTTTGAATATAGAGATGTGAACACTAGGGCTTGAACTACTTAAGCTGGCCATACACTGCTCAATGCCTCTCCCAGCTGGTAGAACTAGAGAAATCTGTACATTTTCACATCCATGCTAAACAACGTGGATGGACGAATCTTTCCTGCCGCTGTCTACGGCTTTCAAGGCACCTGAACATTGACTGCAGGAGACTGGTAGAAGTCACAATTTGGCTCACAGTTTTCTATCAAGCTTCTTCAATTTTTCAATCAAAGTTTGTCGACCTGGGTGGTGTTGGCAAAGCCACCCACTGGTGGAATTCACAGAAATTGGCTTAATTTGAACAGTGTATGGCCCACTTAAGTTCTCTTGGACTGGAAATATCTGTCCCTTTCTTGAAAATAAGGGTCCTTATCCGAGTTTGTTAGAGTTGTGGTTTCACGATTACGTTATATTACTGATAGTATTTATTTAAATGATTTAGTCCTTATATAATCTAGCATGCTCCAAAACTGACCAGAAAGAGAAAAAAAAATTGTATAGTAAAAATATATACATAGAAATGAGGGTGCTGGTACACAGTTACACCAAGCATGAAACCTGGGTGCACTCATACAGTAAACTAGTCCAAGGCATTGAGGTAGTGTATCAATGGAGGATACTGTCTTGCTTCATAATTATAGATGATACACGTCCACGTCCATCAGTCTATGTATCTATATCTATAACACCACCAACATACAAATGCCAAGCTTTTAACTAAAGAAAATATTTAAAGCAATAAGCAAATAGCTTTTTTTCATTAAAAAACAACTAAATTATATTCTACAGGGTACAATATCTCACTCACATTTTGGTGTCAGTATATGCACTCTTCGCTTTGGAGTCTCTTCCATGCTTATATTTCCCCGCAGCTCCATTAACTTCTCCTGATATAACCAGTAAATTTTGCGCATTTCATCTTTGTCCATTTTTTCCCTGATAACAGGAGGTCTGTGTAAACCCAGGCGATCCAAAATGCTTTTCTTCACGGCCTCCAGCTGAATCATTTTCTCCTGCTCGCCCAAGGGCCTGAGCTTGACCCCAGTGATGGATAAGAGAGTGAAGCACAGAGTAGCACACCTGACCTTCCAGGGAGAGCTCTGCATTGTGTGCAGTGTCACAGCGAAAGGCTTGTTCAGCACACAGCTTGTGAGCTGTCTCTGAATGAATGAATGAAATTCTCCAGCCTCTCTCCTTTATAGCTTTCTGAACTGCACGCCCCTAAGAACACACTCACTGCTCCGTAAACATTGCAAATACCAAAGAACACTTGTCACTGATGTATTCATTTTCTTTTTTGATACCGTTAAGATGCAGGATCACTCTAAAAAGAATTCATATGATTTTCATCATAAAAATGTGATATATGAGATACTATAAAATAAATTGTTTTGCCTCTTCTTGGTATGGATCAAAATTACAAAACACAAATCTCTTCATTGTATACTTGATTAGATAAGTATCTGTTTGGCTACCCTGCAATTCAAGCACAGTGCTGTGCTGTATCTGGCAGATTTTTTTGCCACACTGATGTTACCACTCAATACAACAGACTGGACATCTTATTCTTTACATAGACACAGTGAAAATGTGTATCAATTAATAAAGCTATCGTTTTTACAGTGTTAACCCACATTACAGCCTTTGCAAAGGTAAGTACCGCTTGCCTATATCACTGTTTTCCATAATTCAATTAACAGTACTTAGTAGCAAATTTCTGACACTACTACTAAATTTTATTATACCACTGTTAATTCAAATGTGAAAAAACAAATATAGGCTTTAAATATACATAATGAATCAGAGGAAACACTTAAAAGTCTCCTGTGTCAGGAGGCCTGAAGAAGATATTCTACTATGGATGAGATTGAGGCTCAGTTCAGATTTCCCTACCTCCTACTGGGCACTATTGTTCCTCCCCACCTCCTGCTAGGAACTCTTGTTCCAACCCACCCCGCAGAGCACTATTGTGTCCCCCCACCCTCCGCTGGGCAATATTGTTTCTCCCCATACCCTGCTGGGTACTATTATTCGCCCCCACCTCCTTCTGGTAATGATTTTCCCCACACCTTATGCTGGACACTATTATTACTTCCCATCCCCTGCTGGGTACTATCGTTCTCCCCCATCTCCCGCTGGGAACGATTGTTCCCTGCCATGGCCATCCCTGCCACCCCCTGTCTGGGGACTATTGTACCCCCCACCCTTCACTGGCCACTATGTTTCACCCCCTCCACCTTCTACTGAGCACCAACACCTCCCTTCACCCCCAGCATCAATATTGCAAACCCCCCCCCCCCCACCGAGTACCAATGATCCCCCCCACACCATGCCCCACAGGTGAAGACATGCACCTTTTTTTAAAATTTATTTTCCCACTGACCACTAAAACTGGGTATCTTTTTCTCACTGACCCCACGTTGATTTGTGTTGTGCATTGCCTTGTCTTGACTGCTACACTCTTGTGCTGTGTATTAGGTTACATAGACCTGCACCTGCACTTTGTATGCTGTGTTGTGTATTACATGCCCAAAGTTTTTATTTTTCAACAGACGATCATTTCTTTTTACAGTTTTGCAACTAATGTAGTTCTTCTTTAAAACAGGTTTAAAAAGAGTCTCTCTCTCTCTCTCTCTCTCTCTCTCTCTCTCTCTCTCTCTCTCTCTCTCTCTCCAGACATTGCACATGACTGGGTATTCCATGTGAACACGGGTTCACCTATTTTCCAAACATTCACTTTGCAAAGTGAACATTCATTCTGTTAAATGTACTGCCATGACTCTTTTAGTAAAGCATTCCCAGTGTCTGCAGTTTCTATGTCTCTGGACACACAGAAGTAATCTCCCTAGTGGAATTGCAGACAACAGTTACCTTGACATAATTCTCCACTTTATCTGAAACAGAAAAAAAATTGGTTTGGCTGCTGTTGGGCTTTATGTGTGCATGTTTTGTAGCTCAACTCTAGGCAAAATTGATATAAATTAAAATAGACCTTGCAGCAGGTGTTAAAAATAGAAATGCAGCTTTCACTGAAATACCTATCTCAAATCTGAAACCCCTAATACTTATTTTTAACCACAAGATATCCTTGGGTTTTTGGGTTAAATGACACCCAAATGAAAAGTGCCTCAACCTTGCCTTGACTAATTTCTAAGCCGAGTGGAAAAAAGAAAGATGGAAGATCTTGGCAACCACACCAGTTGGGATAGAATTTCACCCTGTGAGTGTAAAGTATCACAGGTATCGCACGTCTTCATTCACACTGCACGATTCTGGTACGATCGTGGGATTTCCCGCGATTCTCGTACGAGAATCGTGCAGTGTATGGAAACCTTTACAAAGCCTAAATGACAAGCAGATAAAACAATGATAATGTAATATTATGACAGGAAATTTTAGAAGCACAATTTAAACAAAGCGCTTAAACAGTATTACCCTCATATGCAATGCTCACATCATGGTCCCCATTTGTAGAGTATATTGAACATCAAAATAATTCTGTTTTTGTGCCTTATATACATGCACTAAGTAATGTAGGTGTTCAGATTATGTATTAAAAAAAAAAAAAAGGCATAAAGTGATAAGTACCAGGATTGCACATTATCGTATGAAAGGCACATGTGCCAAACAAAGGAGCAGCCACGAGAAACTGCACACCATGCTTTAGGAACAAAAACAGCAGCTTACAAATTACATGGGAATTCATCATTTGCAATCAGCAGTGCGTACTTCCAGCTGCCAAAATAAGTCTGTATGCATACTGTGCTATTCTGCACAGCATGTACTATGGCCTTTATTTTTTACATTCAGCTTTTTTTTCAACTTTGATTATTTCAGTACACACTTCTTGTGATAATGTCCCTGCATGAAATGTGAATACAAAAATAGCTAACAGATGTAAGGCAGCCCCATAAAAAAATTTGCTAGAGGGTGGGCGCTTCTGACTGCTGAGCAAAGCATATTTGTTGGTGAATTAGCTACGTGCACTGGAGGAACTACCAGGGTGGCAGCGGTCACATGTGCAGCCCGGCCCTGGTGTTCTGCCACCTGGGGGGCATTTTCGCTGCCACCAACATATGTCAAGCGTCGATGGCAGTGGGCCCCTTAAAGTTGACTGTCGGCTTTACACTGGAAACGATTCTGGTGGTTGAGCCGCTGCCAGATCGCTTCTAAGGGCCAGTGTAGTGAGCTCCCAACACCTCCTCCTTGCTTCACGGGACCTGTTGCCCAGGACCGGCATCCTGGGTATCAGCGGGAAGTGGGGAAGGACTCCAGCCAACATTTGCTCACCAATCTCCCCCCCGCTGAGAAGAGCCGGAAGCAATGCTGATTGCATCATTTCCGGTCCTTCAGCTCTTATTCCCTGGGGAAGAAGCTATGGGAATGCAATCTCCACTCCCATAGCTTCCTTGGAGTGGAAAGGTGACACTAGGGGCCTAAATGTAAAAATAAAGTTAGGTATCACTGTGTGTCCCCGAGTGAGAGCAATAATTCTAGGGCCAGTATTCAGATATCACTAAACTGATGACCAGAATGGGCTTTTAAAGCAGCGCCTAAGGACATATTGGGGTACTGTAATTTGTCGCTGTTTCATGGACACATGCAATTTTTAACCTGCTGGGCATCTATATACTTGTCCTATCCTCATATTTTATTTTTTAGTAAAAAATAAATTGGACATTATAGTGGGTTTTTGGACACTAAAATTAACATAAGCGTATTTTTAACAAAAATTTGGGGTTTGATTAAGAGTTACGCTAATATTGTGCGATGTAAAAATTTGCAGCTGCCACCATTTTTTTCTACAGGGTCTTTGCTTTCAGTATATAATGTTAGGGGGCCTAAAATGTGGTTTATAACATGTGTGCAAAAAACTCCTTGGCGAATAAAGGGTTAAAGAATAAGCACTATATTTAGGACTCTTAAATATGCACATGCGACCCCTGCGACCCTGATAGTTCCGTCAGTGATGGGAACATGCTTTACGGTTATTGCAGGATACATTATGCCAGAAACAACAGTCATTTACAACAATTATTTATTGGGGAAAAAAAAGTATTATGCTTATTTTGATGGGGGGGGGGGGGCCTTCATTCTGCCTTGCCGTCATCGGAAGCCTGCCCCTCAGCGGGCTTTCAAGAAGCATACAACCATCGCAAGACAAAAGTCTTGCGATGGTCGTAAGGTGTATGGGCACCTTTACAGTGCTGCTAACAATGTGAATTCTCACTCCCTCCTCACACTAATAGTGGATCACTGTGTAATTCAGTACAGCCTTGTTAGTTTGTCCTGTTACTTTTCACTTTGCAAGCTATCCAAGCACAGCCTGTTGCTAATTGTCCTTACTTCTCCTCACCTCTAAAGGTGGCCATACACTTTACAACCATCGCAAGACCTTAGTCTTGCGATGGTTGTAAAGTACTTAAAAAAACGTACGATCTGCCCATCTTGGACAGGCAGATCGTACTCTCGATCATTGCAAGCCCGCCCCCCTGAGGGGCGGGCTTACGATGACTGTAATGAGGGGTGGGCTTACGATGACTGCAAACGGGCAGTGTGCGCATGCGCACACCGGCCCGTTTGGCAGTTGTCGAGCCAGCAGGTCACTAACTAGCATGCTGGTTCGACGGAAGACGTGCGACCGTACAGTAGAAACGGTTGCACGCCTTCCATACACTGCACGATTCTCGTACGATCGCGGGATTTCCCGCGATTCTCGTACGAGAATCGTGCAGTGTATGGGCAACTTTAGCTGGCCATACACCTTACATTTATCTGCAGATTTTCTAAGGTCAGATGGTAAAGGTGCAACAGATTCCTCCATCTACACTTAACTGTGTGGATGGAGTAATCTCCACCTGGGCCAAGCTTCCGTGATCTTGCTAGTCGGCCCCGCTGGCTCTCAAAACACCTGAACAATGCATGCATCCAATCAGATTGTTTAGGTATTTTGACAGCCAGTGGGGCCGACTAGCAAGATACTGAAGCTTGGCCCAGTGGGAGATTCCTCTATCCACACAGCTTAGCAAAGATGGAGGAATCTGTTGCACTTTTTCCATCTGACCATAGAAAATCTGCAGATAATTGTAAGGTGTATGGCCAGCTTTAGTTAATGTCATAAGATACATGCAGCGATGCAATGCAGGATC